GATATGACGCATTGAAAAAGCTGCGCATGCGCAGAAGTGAAATGCGTCATATCCGAAAAGACACATACTACTGATATATTCTTTTATCTTTTTCAGTAGGCTAACACCACTACCCTTTTTTGATCTTTTTATTTCTTTGAAATTGTTTTTATGGAAAATCATTTTTCCTGTGAAATACCAATCGGAGGCATCCGATTTTTCATCCACTGCAGCGAAGAAATTGACAAAAGTTTTGGTATTAAAACCTACAAATTTCATGTCTCGTTTGTATTTTCCATCTTGAGTTATCTCTCCAACTATTTCAATTTGCCCTTTAAATGTTATAGATTCATTATAGATAAGGTCAATAACATCGGAAAAAAGTTCATTTGATATGAATTTATCAATTTTTTTCATATTTTTTAATTCATCAGAGATAATCTTGTCAATAATATCGTCTAAAATTTTCATTGATATGAATTTTTTATTGTCTACAATTTCAATTTTATTCATATTTTTAAAGCAACTATTTCTAACTAGGAATTTTTAACTTTTATTGATGATATTTCTACATCAAATTTATCTAAAATTTCATTGAATTCTTCTAATTCTTCAATGATTATGTTCTTATCCTCTCTCGATCTTTCGAAAAATATAAACAATTTATTAAGATATGTATTTAAAATTTTCGGTTTTCCTTTTATAATGAGCTTTCTGTTTTGATGTAAAACCTAAAGTAATCAAACCACAAGATGAAGTTTGAACGGCAGTGAACGCGGCTAATACAGTTGGGACAATTATTGGAAGCATTAATCCACCGGTTATGGCTGTTGCCACCGTTATCCCTATTGTTAAAACTGTACTTAATGTTTTGAAAACAGAATCGATTCTACTCCATGTTTTTCTGCATTTGTTGAATTGTTTTAGTTTTTCTTTTAGTTCATTTTGTTTTTCTATCATGTAGTTTTGTCTACTTTCGAGTTCCATTTTTAGGTAATTAAATTAAGTGAACTTCTGATAAAGCTGCTATGTGTTTATTAATAACAACTCGTATAATTACTAACGATATTTGTTCTTTCGAATCATTAATCTTATTCAGATGAACTGAAAATTTTGGTTTTTCAATAGAGATTATTATATTAACATATGCATCATCTCTTATTAAAAAAATTTTGTTTTTGTTGACTTTTATGAATATCAAATGAGGTAAATATATCATTATCAACAAAATATAGTTTTACGTATTCAAAGTCTGTTGCTCGTAAAAACTCATAAACGCTTATATCTTTTTTTGTGGTTCTGGATTTCTAATAATATTCATTGATGGTGGAGTTTCCGTTTCCAATATCATATCAAAATCACTCAATATATATTCATCTTCTTCTTTATCTTGTATGATTAACATTCTAAACCTATCTATATATTTTCCACTCGTTTTAATTTCATATAAGTGGTGAAGCTTGTTGTTTTCGTCGTTACTTTCATATTCTTTAGTTTCTACGTTTTTTGTACCATTGATAAACTGAAGAACTTTTTTAGCGTTAAATTTTTTATTATGTCTACGTAAGCCTCGTGTGAAGAAGCCTTGTGTGAAGAATAATGAATCAACTTTTACCTGAAAAGAGAAAGTTATTTCAATTATTAGTTTTCCTCGGAAATCAAAATATATTGGTTGATAAGATTTATGAGCATCTGGATCAAAAATATTTTTGGGATGAATAGTATAATTTGGAACAGAATATACTCTAATATTTGCTGTAAATCCATATTTTTTATATCCATAGTCTTTTGATTTATCAATATTATCAGTAATAGAAGCATCGTAATCTCTCAAATTTCCAAATGGAAGATTGAAATAATATGATTCTTTCTTTTTTTCTAATGCGACTATATTTTTATCCTGTTTTAAAACTAGGTTATTAATCGTGTTTATCTGTTGTTGAATAACACTATCATCAATATTTTGTATTTGTTGATGAATATTTGTTAGTTCTTTTTGTAATTCACTGTTAAGTTTAGTTTCCAGAGCATTTAATTCCTGTTGAAACGTATCTTTATCTGGAATGTTATCTATCAATTGTTGAATCAATATAAACGAAAAGAAAGGTCCAAAATTGTGGATATTCAATTCCTCATTAGCACAAGATAAAAACTATATAAATTTAATAACTCAATCCCTCAAAACGTGGGAAAATGATTTCTTTGACAGAAATGATAGGCGCGGCCTCTGGGATTTTTTGAAGTATAAAATTAAACAGGAAACTTTAATATATTGTAAGAAAAAACAAAAAATTAAAAGACAAATTAAACAAAGATTAGAAGAAGAATATGAACAAGGCGAAATTAATATATCTATGACATCAGTCGACTGTTAAAATTTAGCTGAACATGAAATGATCAAAACAGGATTAAATGATATATATAACGAAGAAGCACAAGGTGCTATAATAAGGTCTAAATTACAGTATTATCATGAAGGAGACAAAAATTCAAAATTCTTTTTAAGTTTAGAAAAACAAAAACAAAAATCTACATGTATATACAAATTACAAAGTGAAAAGGAAAATTCCTTACTCGATAAACCAAAAGAAGCCCTCACACATATTGAGAATTTTTATAAAAACTTGTTTTCACTTAAAACTCAATCAAAAAATAGCTATATTGATTTTCTGAAATATAACATTGATCATCCAAGATTAGATGGTGACGAGGCTGACTGTCTGACTGAGGGTAAATTAAGTGACTGGGAAAGCAAGAAAGTTTTAAAGTCGTTTAAACTGAATTCTTCTCCCGGAAACGACGGCCTCACTTACGAATTCTACTCGTGTTTCTGGCCAATCATAGGTAACCATGTTTTAAACTCTTTCAATGAAGGATTTGATGAAAAATGCTTATCAAACTCTCAAAGACAATCCATCATTAAACTTGTACCTAAACCAGGTAAAAACAAATTAGATTTAGGTAATTGGCGCCCAATATCTTTAATCAACGTAGATACCAAAATCGCTAGTAAAATTTTATATAATCGAGTGAAATACTTCTTAAAAAAATTGATCCATCCCAACCAAACAGGATTCATTCCAGGTAGACATATTAATGAGAATATTAGAATTATTGATGACTGTTGTACTTTAGCACAGCAAAGACGTATTAACGGGATGATCTTAGCGATCGATTTTTCCAAGGCATACGATTCTTTATACTCCTCCTATCTTTTAGAAGTACTTAGACAATTTGGCTTCAAAAAGATGTTTTTACGTTGGATTAGTACTCTATACAATGAAATCGAATGTTCTGTAATGAACAATGGTTACACGACAAAATATTTTCCTATTGAAAGAGGAGTAAGACAAGGTGACCCGATCTCTCCAATACTCTTTAATTTAGCTATAGAAATAGTATGCATATTTATCAGAAATGATAGGATTATAGTA